CTTTGTGATCTGCTGTGGGTGCCAATGTAATGTTAGTGACACCCCAAACATAGATTGCAAATGCAGTGCATTTTTAGGCAGTGAATTGCATGGTACCACAGCATAATGCTTTAGTGTAGAAATCATCAATAGAATTGTGGGTGCAGAGTTACACAGCAGCATTATCTGTTGTAATGACAAAAACCCAGTACTGTGTGTGTTTTTATCTTGTTTTATTTATTTAATAAACCAACCTACCTTAAAGGAATGTGGGTATTGCATATCTAAGCATTTACTGATGGTTGCAGGATTAGGTTTAAGAGAACCTGGCCAGGTTATGTTTGAGCTTGGTTTAGGAAACCTCCTGTCTATGGGAGCCAAATATTAGACATTTTTTCTCATCTTCTTTAAGGCCAATGGGCAGGCTATTGTTGAAAAAGGCATGGGTACTGAGGACAGTCATGGAGCACATCAACTAATGTAAAAAAAATACTGATCAGAGTATAGGGGGTTTTTCAATTAACTTTGCTTTGTGAGAGCCATGACTAGCCAAAGCAATGCACCTGACCACAATGACTTCGGCCAGTCATGACTCATGGCTCACAGTATATAAGCCTGCTTACACAGTAGCCTTCTGTAGTGTGTTGCTGGACACACACAACAAAAATAATAATTAAAAAAAAATGGAATAAAACAAATACAAATATAACAAAAAAAATAAATTTAAATGGCCTGGTAAGCAGCTTGATCGCCCCCCTCCTTTCCTGCCCTACCAGGCCTGTGCCTGGATCAAGGGTCTGGTAGGAATTTAGGGGGAACCCCATTCTCCCTCCCATTTTTGAAGGGTGCGGTTCCCCTTAAAAGTCCTACCAGGCCTAAAGGGCATGGTAGGACTTTTAGGGGGCACCTCAACACAGTTTTTCCCCCATTTTTGAAAGGTGGGGTTCACCTTAAAAGTCCTACCAGGCCTAAAGGGAACCCCATGTACTTTAAAATTCATGTAGGGTCTATTGGGACCCCACGCTGCTTTTTTCTTTTTTTTTTTAATAAAGATGTAATTTTTTACAAACAATGTCAGTCCTGCTGTAGCAGATTTTATACATTTTACAGATGTGCAACATTGCAGGTAGTTTAAGGGGACTCCCCAGGCATGGTATTTAAAGGAATATTTCCTTTTTTTTTCTTTTTTACTTTAAGCAATGAAAAATGATTGCTCCTTTAACCATTTAAATACTGGGCACTTTTACCCCCTTTCTGCTCAGGCCAATTTTCAAGTTTCAGCACTCTCACACTTTGAACGGCAATTGCGCGGTCATGCAACACTGTACCCAAACTCAATTTTTAGCATTTTGTTCACACAAATAGAGCTTTCTTTTGGTGATATTTAATCACCACTGGTGTTTTATTTTTTGATAAATTAACAAAAAAAACTGCAAATTTAAATTAAAAACATCACGGTTTTCTTTGTTTTTGTTAAAAAAGTTTGCAAATAAATAATTGTTCTTCATAAATTTAGGCTAAGATGTATTCTGCTACATTTCTTTGGTGAAAATAACCCAAATCTGTATTTATTATTTAATCTGTAGGAAACTTATAGAGTTCACAAACTATGGGATATAAAAAAAAGTGATCAATCCTGAAGTACTGACAGTCAATCTAATTTCTTGAGGCCCAAAAATGTCAGAACAGTACATATATCCCCCAAATTACCCCTTTTTGCAAAGCAGACAGTCCAACATATTTCATAAGAGGCATGGCAAGTTTTTTGAAGTCGTAATTTTTTTGTCATAACTTTTTTGGAAAATGAAGAAATTAAAAAAACTATTTTTACAATTTTTTTTTACATACTATCACCAGTGCAGTACAGTGTCATCATATAACTGGTGTGGCGGGTGATCAGGGACACTAAATGGTGACAGTACAAAAAATAAATTATATATTTTTTTTTAATTTTTTCAATTTTTGATTCCTTTTTTTTTCTCTTTTTTTAAGATTTTTTTTCATATTATACTATGACCAAAGTAGTATAATGTTACCATAGTAACATTGTACTACTTTGGGGAAGTGATCAGTATTTTTTTTTTTAGGCAATTTGACTGCTTATAGCAAAGAATTTCTTTGCTATGAGCAAGCATTTAACTCAATGAAATTGATTCATTCAGGTCTTTTTGTTGTGATTAGCTGTGATAGGCCATGACTAATCACATGACACAGATGGGCTGTTATTGGCCCAGCCTGTTCATGTGATCACTGTGACCATACACAGCTAGACCCACTTGTATACAATGGATGGCATGAAAGGAAGCCATCCATTATTTACAACTGTCATGTGACCTGCCGTGATCGGTCACAGCAGGTCACATGGTACTGGCAATGGGGCTGGTACACAGATCTGTCATCAGCCATGTCCAAGGTACACAGCCGGTGACAGATCTCGCCACAGCGTGGCCCTGCGGGCACATGCACGGCGCCGTCCAGGAAGGATGCCATATGACGCCATCCCGAATTGACAAGTGTCCAGCCCGGCCATCATTTTCCTATAGCCCGGACAGAAAGTGGTTAAAAATGGTACTTTTTGATTTTTTTTTTCCACTGATTCATGTCCCTCAGGGAAGTATCTAAAATCATCACTTTTAAATTTACAAGCTCATGTCTCAAAGACTTGCATTGAGTTTGAAGTCTGCGGTCAAACGTTCATTAACTTTGAACGTTCAACTGCGAACCGAACACGGGAGTGTTTGGTCCATTACTATTTTCCACTTTACCCAAGGCTACATCCTGTTCCAAATTATTATGCAAATGATATTCTTCTCATTTACCTAAATAATTGATGTAAATAACAGTCAGCATAATTCTCATGTTATCAACTATTAAGAGTAAAATTCAATTTTTTTTTTTTTGTATTAACAATTTTTATTGGTTTTCATGTGAGTACAAACAGTGTATTTTTTTAAAAAAGATAAGGAAAAAAAACAAATAAGCATAACAGAAAGGTACATCGATGGCGAAACTACATATGGTCAGGACCAGTGGAAACATATAATAACAGTGCGGAAATAATCAGGGTCTTACATTTTGGGCCGGCATAGAGGAAATGAAGGTATCCCACGGGAGCCAAATCATCTCAAACACAGCAAACAAACAATTATGTAATGCAGTCAAATACTCCATCTGTCTTACATCAGCAATAAGTTTGTACAAAATCGGCAATGAAGGGGGAGTAGAAGATAACCAACACATAGGAATGCTTCTCCTGGCTGCGGTCAGAACATGTACAGCAAGTTTTCTGGCTGGTTTAGGTAGACTCGGGAATGGCAAGCCCAGCAAAAAATGCAGTGGGTCAAATGGGAGAGAGATATGCAACAACGATTGCAACAAGGAGCGGACCTCTTCCCAAAAAGGGACAATGGAGCTGCATGTCCAAAAGATATGGTAGAGAGAACCAGGATCTCTACTACAGCGCCAGCAGGCAGGAGAAGCATTCGGATTATAAGCATGAAGAACCTCAGGTGTTTTGTACCATAACATCATGATCTTGTATATATTTTCCCTAAAAACCACACAGACAGAAGATCTAGATGCATTTTCCCAAATTTTCTTCCACGTTAATAAATCAATATCATGTTGTACAAATTGAGACCACCTACGCATGTAAAGGTGAGTGTCATTGGATAAAGGGGGGGCATCCATAAGGAGTTTATAAGTATTAGAGACAATACCCCTTTGGTGGGGACCCTGCATACATAAACGTTCGAAGGGAGTAGGCTTCCCCAGGATCAATGAGGGTGATAAGGTAGAAAAAAAAATGGCGTATTTGAAGGTATATATATAGGTGATGAGGAGGTAGAGGAGCCATTTTCTGAAGATCCAGGAATGAGTGTAACTTACGAGTCACCGGGTGTACCAAGTGACGCAATTGAAAAAGGTTAGCTACTACCCAGAGAGACATCCGGGATACGGCCATATTGTCTGGGAGATTAGGGTTATAGAGGACATTTGTCAGTGGGGAGCATTCAGAGGCCAGTGTGAATTTAGCCTTACATTTCTGCCAAACAGTCAGTGAAAAATGCATGGGACCAAGGAATAGGTGGCGGAAGGAAGAGACATCCACTGCTGAGGTCGACCAAAGGAGGGAACATGGATGAGCTGGGGACAGTTGCAATGATTCGATCTCAGTCCATGTGTTGGGAGGATAATGGGTGGACCATGACATGAGAAAACGAAGGTGAGTTGCATAGTAGTATGTTATTATATCCGGCGCCCCCATTCCCCCCCTAGAACGCAGGGAGAGCAGAACAGAACGTGCAATCCTGTGCCGCTTATTGTGCCAAATAAAATGTAGGAAAGATTTATGAAGGGAGTGAAGTTTGGACATAGGAACGGGGACGGGGAGAGTTGCAAACAGGTATAAAAGTTTGGGTACACGGTCATTTTTAAGACGTTGATGCGTCCGAGGAAAGAGATGGGCAAGGCATCCCAATGTTTCAGAGAGCGAGAAATTGCTATAAATAGTGGGGGGAAATTGGCCTCGTATATGGATTGGTAAGAGGAAGTAAGATTAGTACCTAAATATTTTAAAGAGTGGGTGCACCACCGGTAGGGAAAGGCTTCCTGAAGTGAGGATAAAACAGCAGGTGGGACATGTATTGGGAGTGCCTCAGTTTTGGACGTGTTGACTTTGTAGCCTGATATAGCCCCAAAATGTTTCAGAGTCTTATGCAAAATCGGTAAGGAGGTGTGGGGGCTCGTAAGTGTGAGGAGTAGAGATGAGCGAAGAAATGAAAAATTTGATTCGACTGATTTCGGCGAATTCGTGGACAATATTCGATTCGAGTCGAATAAATTCGCTGTGAATTTAACTTAAAAAAGGGTGTTTCTAGGCTTCAGAGAGACTTAATATTAGTGCAGAACACTGTACCTTTAATTTAAATGCCCTTGGAGTCTGCTGGGGAAGAGAAATAATACTGTCACTCAGTATGACATGCAGATGAGTGTCGTCGATCTTAGAATCACCGCACACTTCACTCATTTGGCCAGTCACGGGGCCAAAACCAGTGTTTGGAGCCACAGTGTGGCGGTGGAGGCAGCAGCAATGGGAGGCCATACAGCAACCTATGACAAAAATGGAAACCAGCAGGAGTGTGAGGAGACCTGAAAGTGGCACATGGCAGAGTGGGAGCAATGGGAGGCGGTACAGGGACCCAGGTCACACTGTGGGCCCAGCAGCAGCGTGACCAGGCGGTACGGGGGTCCATGGCAGATTTGGGGCCTGGCAGCACCTATGGGAGGCCTGTAATCTGCCAGCAACCCTATGACAAAATGGAACCCTGGGCTGGGGCAGGCAGAACCGCCGTATCTTTATCACGGTTTTCCCAGGCCACCGAATGGCGACGCTGCATATGCTGACGCAACGCTGTAGTCCCAACATGGGCCCCCTGGCCACGCTTGACTTTCTGGCCACATAGTCGACATACGGCTACGTTTACTTCCTCGGGCGGCTTGACGAAAAATTGCCACACCGCAGAGTAGGAAACTTTGCCTCCGCTACTCCTCACTGGCTGACTGCTACTTCCTCGTTCACACCGGCACCACTTACTGGCCGTGGTGGTAGCTGCAGTGGAGCTGGGTGCTCTACTCCGTGGCCGTTTGCCTCCACTGACACTGCTGCGACCCTGCTGCCTCTCGGCAGCAGCAATGGGATCGGGCCGTACAGGGACCCATGAGGAGAATCTGCCAGCACCCTATGTCAAAAAATTCAACACACCAGCAGTGTGAAGAGACCTGAATGTGGCACATGGCCCAGAGTGTGGCGATGGAAACAGCAGCAATGGGAGGCCGTCAGGGACCCATGGAGACCTCTGGACTATGGCAGCAGCATGAAGGAGGCGGTATATAGGGTCCCATGGACAGATTAAGGGGCCAGGCTCAGCTTATGGAGGCCCGTAATCGCCATCACCCATATGTCAAAAAAATCCAACACAACAGCAGTGAGTGAGGAGACCTTGAAATGGCAACATGGCAGAGTGTGGCTATGGTAGACAGCAGCAATGGAGTGCCGTGACTGGACCCATGAGAGACTATGGACTAGGCAGCGAGCATGAGCAGGCGGTATATAGGGGGCCCCATGGCAATTAGGGCCCAGGCAGCAGCTTTGGGAGGGCCCGTTAATCTGCCAGCACCCTATTCCAAAAAATTTCAACACAACGCAGTGTGTGAGGGACCTGAAAAATGGGGC